TCTAAGTCTGAACCAAAGAGTCCAAATCCGGCAAATCGTTTTGAGAAAACTGATTTTTGAAAAAAGTGCCAAACATGGACTGCTTTGCCAGATACAGAGTCGCCACCTAAATATTTTTACGGGGGAATTTAGGAAACCCTGACTCGGTGCCGAAGGCCACATGTCCGTCATCACCAGAGTTGTCTCGGCTCGGGAGCTAGGGTACGATTAGGGAAGGTTAGCTATGAGCACCCCCTCTCGCCCGATCCGAAGGTCGGCCTTTACTAACCATGATATTCGATTTTGAAAATGTTATGTGTTCTTATTCTGGTTATTAGCCTAGAATTACTATGTTATGCGTACAGCAAACAAGTATAGACTAGATTGCCTAATTTGGGAACAAGCATTGCATATCCATTTGTTTTGAAAAACGTTTTGGAATTTGCTACTCGAAAGTAGGCTAAAATACGGATTTCAATGAGTTTTTCCAACTCAAACAATCCAACCTTCACCCGCAGGCATTCAAACAGTTTATCACATAAGCACTTAGACACATGGTAAGCACATTATCATGGCAGCATTCACACGCATGCAACATGCTAAAGCGAAAATACTTACATCATACTCCATGCCAAAACAACAAACTAGTTAGCAAACATGCATGTCCTAGTTCATGTCAAGTTGACTAATGCAACACATGCAAAATGTAATTAGAGTAGGCTCGGCTAACCTAAACATGGCATGTGAAATGCAACCAATTGATGTACGTATTCAATTTGGAATTTGAAATACAAATGCAGTTAGCATGATGTACCGAGCCCAGTGTATGCAGGACAAATGTATGAATGCACGCATGCATTGCACAAGGTATTCTAATTTTAAATATGCCCTAGTCTACCATCATAAGCAGGTAAATAAAAGGGAAGAAAGACGTGGGATTGGAAGACATACACACACTCACCCACACTTATTACAGATTTGCCCTCGCGCGGAGGGACCAAATAAATATTACAGTCCGAATAACAAATAAATTAATTATTACAGAATGTCTACTTAATTAATAGAACGAATGCAAAATGAAGGAGAGAGATGGCCACAGCCTCCGCCTCGAGATACGCGAATGATGCATGCTCAAACCTGCCTTGCCCGGAAAGTCCGTACCATACCAAGGCTGTCTCTGTTTACACTGCCCTAATCTCTCTGAAGAATTCCAAAGTGCTGGGACAGGTTTATTGCATACTGCAGAGGACCACCGGCTGGGGGAAATTCCCACCGGCAGTGCATAATTTCCACCGGCTGCTTCTGGATTTATCGGCCATTCACCAAAGGCCGGTCGGCACTGAATTCTGCCGGTCGGCAGAAACTTCCTGCAGGAGACAGTTTTGATAGCAACAGAGAACAGACAGTATATGGCATGGGATTTCAGCCACATGTGAGCATGGTCATGTTTCTCATCATGCTTTGAACTCAGGGAAGCATGGCCCTCGATACTCGAGCCATCAATGGTGCATGATAGCCCAAGAGATCAAGCTTGCCACTTGATGTATTGGGCTATCATGCACCATTGATGGCTCGAGGATCGAGGGCCATGCATATTCAAATTCTAAAATAGTCACACACACCAAAAAAAAAAAAAACATTAAACAAGCCTCAAATCAGATTGAACCAAAACCAACCAATTTTCTGGCGGTGACCGAGAGTTAAGGCACGTTACATCACTTATAGTATGAACGCCCCTTAACCCTCACACTTGGTTTGACACCCCAAACCAAGTAATGCAATGCATGTTATGCAAACATGGCTCAAAATGTAACATGATATCAAGATACAAGGCATACCAAGTGTCATGCAACTAGTATGGCAAGCATGCAATGTTAGGCATACAAGATGCAAATGCAATGTAAATATGGACAATTTAAGCAATAGAATAATCATGCTACAACACCTAATGAAGCAACCATGCAACAAACGTGAACAAAGCATGCAATGGTGGCTTAAAATGGTAAAGGGGCAGACCTTAACCCACCTCAAAACAGTGGCCAAAAGTGTCCGAAAGGTGGACCAATACTCATGCCAACAAGCAAGCCAATGGTCTTAAGGTTAAGGCACAAAAAGGAGGCACTTCACTCCCACCAACATGACCCCTCATGGCATGACTTGGACAAGCCAAAACAGAATTTTAACATGCAAAAAGGGACTCCAAAACCTCCTAATATGACAGCTTAGGTGGCTCCCATGAAACGCACCCACCAAAACTCATTTCTAGGCATAAAAGGGTACACCCTAAGAGCATGGAAGAGGTCATAAATGCAAGCATACAAGCATGATTTATGGGCTGAAATATGACCCTAAATGATGGCAAATCATGGGGATGGTCATAGCTATGCATGCTAGAGGTCAATATGCTCAAAGCTTACAAGCCAAAACACAAAGAGATGACACCAAACAAGGCAAGCATGATTCATATACAAGTATGATATAAAGATGTATCTCCATAAATGTGTATTTGTAATAACCCGACCCTCCTATATGCTTTACATCTCTAGCTATATGAGAAATTATGTGTTTAAGGTGAAATTCCTTGTGAAGTTGTGCTTACATACATGACTTATTTAATTAATTGTGACATTCTATCTGTTGGTTCTTGGAGGAAACCTGTGAGAATTAAGATGTTTGAACTTGAAATTGGAAGCCTTCAACGTGCGATAATCCAAAATTGACTTTACTTTTATGATTAGCATAATTTTTAGGTCATAATATTAATTTTCATAAAAATCTGATTCGTAATGATTTAATTGATGTAAATTAGGCCCACTAACTTGACTATGAGCCTTAGTAGATGAGAAATATAAGTTTGACCCTAGATGGCAAAGTGGAAGCAACTTTACATACATCCCGATAGGAAATTTTGAAAAGGAGAGAAAGAAAGGGAGAATAGGTCAACAAGATTTGGAGATTGAAGAACTTGCTAGGGGAATTTGAAGAATACAACTTATAGTGAGTATAGATCACTAGTAAATTCTCAATTTCTCTTCAATTGGTTTGAATTAAGCTTTGAAATGAAACATCCACCATGAAAACTAGGGTTATTATTGTGAGTAACTAAATTTCATAAATGATCATGTATCTCTTGGATGTATATGATGGGAAACTTGATCTCTCTGTGTTATGCCTAATCTCACTCTTTTGTATGCTTAAACTCATGTAAATAGATACATATGTATGTGTTAATATATCTACATAGTGAGAATGAGGGAATCATGGAAATTGGAGGTGTAAAGGCCCAAATAAAATAAGTCTAGATCATAATGGGCTAGAATTTCATGTTCATATGTTTATATGTTATGTTTTTAGGGTAAACTTTCCTTGATTTTGGCTGTGTGACTATGCTTTGCAAGCTTGGGATTGTTGAAGTTTTGGACAGAAAAAAGGGTAAACGACTGCACGTGTGGGGCTCATGGCCGCACGTGCGAGAGGCACAACCGCACGTGCAGGGCTCACAGCTGCACGTGTGGATAACAAGGGAGAAAACGGAACCAAACTGCAATAAAAGCACGTGCAACGCACCTGCCCGCACGTGCGGTAGGGACTTCCGCAGGTGCGGCCAAAGCTGAAAATTTCTGTAACTTTCTTTTGTTTTGTTTAACCCTCAGAATGTGTTAAAATGTCCATTTTAATGTTTCTGTAATAAATTTAATTACATGGAACTTAACGAATCGAACGTTTGGGAAATAAAAAGGAAAGTAAGGAAAAGTGATGTACGTTTTGTACTGACAAGTCGTATGCTTTGTGTAGGGCATGTATAGGAGGGGACCATTGTTCATCCGCATCACAGTGAGTGATAGTAGTATAATAACATATTTCATTCACATATTGTATTCATATATGTTATTTCATATTTAATTCACTTTTCGTGAATGACTTATGTATATGAGTTGTGTTTAGTGGAGCATTTGGAATGATTGAACATTGGCATATGAATTATGGGCCAGAGGTCGTTACGTTGAGCTATTATAATGGGCCTGAGGCCGTTTTGTATTTCTTTGGGCCCAAGGCCGTTTTGTGATAATAATGGGCCTAAGGCCGTTTTGCATTCCGTTGGGCCTAAGGCCGTTTTGTTGTTATAATGGGCTTAATGCCATTCTGTGTTACGTTGGGCCTAAGGCCATTCTGTTCTAAGTGGGCCCGAGGCCGTTCAGCAAAGGGAATAAGAAAAAGACTAACCTATAATTTATGAATATGCATTGCTTAATTATGGTTGTACTCTTAATCTATTTGTATGACTATCATTCATGGAGCCTTGCTCAGTCCATTTTTATGGATGTTTTGTAGGTAATCAGGGCGCGGGACAACCTTAGGTCCGCTCAGGAAGCGTTTGCTAGACCTGTTTTGCTAGGTCACCCAAAGTGACCCTTTTGTTTATGTTTTTATTTTTTTGTTTTGGGAAACTGTATGTGGGCTTGTGTTGTTAGAATTTGGAAGAATAGACATGTATATATGTTGTCAATACCTAACTTTTGGGTCGTTAACCTTATTCCTCAATCAATAAATGTAAATGGTGTGTGAAATGTCATGTACTTATGTATGGTGATGCGTTAAGATCTTGGCATGTAGTCATAGCTCAATGAATGTTTTCCTATAATCTTGCTTCCGTTCAGGCCCCATTATTAATTAAAATTTAAGACTACAGTTGGGGCCTCAGCACTGGCCGGTCATGTCCAAACTTTTAGGGTCGTGATAGTTGGTGTCAGAGCACGAGTTGCTACCACACACACGAGTTCATTGAGCTTTAGGGTGTCTAGAAAAGATTTAAGTTGCATGCATGTGACTTTTGATGCATATAAAGTGATATGTAGCAACTAGATTGTGCATACAATAACCACTGATATGTATTTTGGCAATGACTATGGGCCATGCCTATTTGTGTATTTTTGTGTATATTATAACTAGCCATTGTGTAGATCATGGTGAGGACTAGAACGGAAGATCCAGAAGAATCTACCCTCGTATAGTTGGATATGATGGAAAGGATGATCATGGAGATGGCAAAAACCTTGAGGCAACAACAGCAGCAGCAACAACCACCACCACCAGTACCTGTGCCACCGCCAGAAGTACAAGATTACCATGTTGAGGATAGAACAATTACGCTCACGAAGGAATTCAAAAAGATGAAGCCACCCTCGTTCAAAGGGGAAATTGAACCAATGAAAGCAGAAGCATGGGTGTTGGGTATAGAAAAGTTATTTGAGGTTTTTCCTTGCACTGAAGCCCAAAAAGTGCAACTTGCTGCCTTTACTATCGAAGACGAAGCACGGAGGTGGTGGATGCCCACAGGAACTGCACATCCAGGGTTAACATGGGCTAGATTTTTGGAGCTATTCTATGAAAAGTATTTTCCTCAGTGTATGCAGGACAAGAAAGTGACTAAGTTTGAGACCTTGAGACAAGGAAGCAGGACCGTTGTGGAGTATGAGGCTCAATTTGTTGAATTGGCCCGTGTCGCGCCACATATGGTGGATACGGACTACAAGAAGGCCATAAAGTTTGAAGGTGGATTGCGGATTGCTATTCACGACTGGATCAATGTGCTGAAATTACCTACGTATGTTGATGTGTTGGAAAGGGCAGTAATCAATGAGGGTAATATTGCCGCTCAAAGCTGGGTCTCAGAATGGAAAGGGAAGAGACAGAATACCCAAGCTGCAAGGGGTTCGGTGACACCACCGAGTAAGACATTAAATTCGGAAACCTCTAGCACATTCGCCTCTACCTGCAACTCTGCACCAATTTGTCTGGACTGTGGAAAGCAACATCGTGGGATTTGTTATCGAGTAACAGGGGCATGCTTCAAGTGTGGCAAGATAGGTCATTTAGCCAGAAATTTCCAGCAAAAAGATCGTCAGAATGGGAATAGAACTACCACAAGTTCAGCCGGTTCAACTCCAACCCCAACCACAAAGGCAGCTATGAAACCCTCCAATGCTAAAGATATCGCTAAATAGGGAAGAGTATTTGCGCTAATTCCGGGAGACATGTAGAATACCGAGGCTGTGATATCAGGTATATTCTCTGTTAATGGTTATTCTGCACATGTGTTATTTGATTCGGGCACTACCCACTCCTTTGTATCAAAAGCATTTGCTAGTCATTTAAATAGACCTATGGAACTGCTACTTTATGTCTTGTGTGTGTCCTTACCATCGGGGGAGTCTATGGTATGTACGTCTATTTATTTTGCTCGTGAAATCCTATTTGGGGATGTTCGGGTAGGTTGCCTCTTAACATGGCTTATTTTGACATAATTTTGGGAATGGATTGGTTAAGCGAATCTCACGTGACTATTGATTGTATATTGAAACAAGTTACCTTCCAACCCCAAGGGTAGCCTGAGTTTATCTTCAAGGGGCAGAGAGTGGTTTCCCCACCTTACTTGATTTCCATAGTAAAGGCTAGTAAATTGTTACAAAAAGGTTTCCAGGGATTTTTATGCAGTATTTTGAGGGGACAACCAGTGGGTGAGGACATTGATGCAATTCCAATAGTTCGTGAATTTCTGGATGTTTTTCCAGAGGAGTTACCGGGGGAGTTAATTGATCGTGAGATTGAGTTTACAATTGATATAATGCCGGGTACTCAGCCCATTTCCAAAACCCCTTATAGGATGTCACCCGCTGAAATGAAAGAGTTGAAGATGCAATTGCAAGACCTCCTTGACAAGGGGTTCATTCACCTGAGCACTTCTCCTTGGGGCGCACCGGTTCTTTTTGTAAAGAAGAAAGATAGGACCCTTCGGTTGTGTGTAGATTATAGAGAACTCAACAAAGTAACCATGAAGAATAAGTATCCATTGCCTAGGATCGATGATTTGTTCGATCAGCTGTATGGTGCACAAGTCTTCTCTAAAATAGATTTGCGATCGGGATATCACCAACTAAAAGTTAAAGATGAGGATATCGAGAAAACTGCCTTCCGAACCCGTTACAGACATTATGAATTTTTTGTTATGCCGTTTGGGGTCATCAATGCACCAGTGGCCTTCATGGACCTAATAAACCGAGTTTTTAAGCCCTACCTGGATGACTTTGTAGTCGTGTTCATTGACGACATCCTCATTTAGTCAACAAGTATGGAAGCCCATGAGAACCATCTGCAGTTAATTCTTCAGACTCTTTGAGATAAGAAACTGTGGGGAAGTGGTTTGGAAATACTCTTCGGATCTTGGGAGACGCTAGTGATCCTCAGCTAGTCACCTGAAAAGATACAAGCACTCCGGTCGGGGGTGCCAGAATTAGTACTCCGACGGACAAGTTAGTTCAGACACTCAGGATAGCTTACTTTCTAAGTCTTTATGATGTGATTCTTACATACCTTTCTATAACTGTTGTTCTTGTATTTATACCTGTTCTTCTTGATCCTCGGGGCCAGGGCCTACTTTTTAATCATTGTCCTTTCCTTTATTCGGCCCTAAGTACTTATACTTTATTCGACACATATATTCTATTCGGCTCCCCGCTCTCGTAGGATATAGCCGATTAATATCAGTCTTCCAAAGATACACACCATCTGATCTTTCCATTATTCGGCCCCCAAAATTGCCTCCCGAACTCCCCATTGACGGAAGTTAATCGGCGTGTTTGGTCTTGAATTGGAAAGGTTAAAATAGGTCAGGCGGCTTCGCGTACCCCAATATAGATGTCTGGATGTGCTCACCTTTTCGTTCATCATTACGCTTTCCCGCCTCAACCTTGCGTCTCGCATTTATTGTGATTTGAAATTTTAGCCCTTTCGAATGCACAGTTCGTCGAGTATTCAAGACTCTTGGACCGCCAGCAGATATCCCTTCTCTGACTCGCATTCTCTGCAACTCTTCTCCGTCTACCCTCGTCTCCCTTGTTCCTCGTAAGTCTTCTTCTCTTTTCTTTGCAATCTTACTTTTTGTTTATCACTTTCATTTTGGTGAACCCTTTATTTCCCGTGAAAATGGCCAAACACTTGAAAGACCTCCTTTCTAAGGGTCGTGTCTCCAGATTTCGGCGACACTTTTCCATTCCCGACGATGTTCATCTATCTCTAGTGACAGACAACAGTCTGGATATGGAGAGAGAGGATCAAAATTCAATCGTCTTTCCTCTCCTATCCATTACAGAGGGCGGGGTCCGCTTTCCCCTACATCCATTCCTTAGGGCCGTCTTCCGCTATTGGGGTCTGATTCTTTCTCAGCCCAACGTGAACTTTTTTTGGATCGTAATGGGGATCATAGAGTTGAACTGGTGCCTCAGGATCGACCTTGGGGTTCCAGCCATTCGGCACTGCTATGCTTTAGCCAAATCCTCTGGTCGGCTTGGGCGGTACTTTCTTAGGGCCAAGAATACTGACCATCATTTGGTAACCATGCTCGCCAGTTCTGGCAAGCGTGTGGATGACGTAATGGTCAATATCCAAGGGAACTGGGAATTTGGCAAAGGCGAGGATCGCCTAGACCCTATTCCCAGACGAAGGGGTGAACCAGGTTGCCGTTTGCCTCCTTGTGTTTTACTGAACTTTTTTTTTACTCAGCTTTCCCCCTGTGTCTAACCCCTTGCCTTTGCAGGTAGTAATTTGAAGAAGATTCTGGTTTCTGCCGATGACGCGGTCCTTTCGCAGGTTGCGACTGCACTCGGATACTTCGGTCATCCGTACTTACAGAAGCAAGGGAGAGCGGCCTACATACTCCTTCGATACGAGCCTACTTACACTACTTTTTCGGCCGCTGACAATATTTCAATTCCATCCGGCGATCGACAGCTTGCGGCTCTTATTTTCCCTAGCTTCAAGAGTCTCAGACAAGTTGGTCTCGAAGCCTCTAACTCGGGGCAAGATGTCGAGCCGGTGGTAGAGGTAGTCGCCGAACCAGACAAAGAGTTCGCTGAGGAGGCCGAAGAGGTTGACGAGGCCCTAAACTCGGCGTTTGAGGCAGCCAGACGTAGTCAGCCTACCTCGCCGTCCACTTCGGGTCGGGCTGAGTTTTCTTTTGGAGATATTTTTGGAGGTTTGGGAGATTTACCCGGTGATTTTTTTGAAGGCATGGCTGGGGAAAGCCTCACGTAGATGGCTCAAAGGAAAAATGCTGAGCGTATGGCTGCCCGGAAAAAGGCTAAGGCTGCCCGTTCTGGACCTGCCTTGGTTGAGTCTTCCGAACCCGTTATTGAAGAGCCAACTAAGATTGTTGAGGCCAAAAAGGCGAAAGAGGTCGAACAACTGGTCATTGATGAACGGTTGATTCCGAAAGAGCGGGGCAAGAAGCGTAGTGCCGAGGGAGAGGCTGGTTCAAAAGATAGTCTTGCCGACAAAAGGCCTCGCTTAGAAGAATCGGACGTGGTTGTTCCTTTTATTGTTCAGCCAAAGATTAGAGACACGCCGATTCCTTCTGATGCATCCATCATTACCGACCCGGCGGTAGCCTTGAGCCTGGCAACGTCAGTCTCCCTACCAGTTGATAAGGCGTCCTTTCATGCCGTGTCGGATTTGGTGGCCATAGCTCTATCTGCGTAATCGACCCTTTTGGTAGGTGAACTTTAACTTGTTTTGATTTTGGTTACCTATGGCATCTAATGATCGCAACTCGTTTTGCAGACGGTCGGCAAGATCTTATTCAGCCATAAGGACTTACACTTATTCGGCACATATATTATATTCGGCTCCCCACTCGATCAAAAGAGCAGGGCCGAGTTTGAGATGATGAGGGCCGCTATGGAGACTGCGCGAGCCGAAGCCGAAGTGGAAAGGGCTTGGGCTGCCGATCAGCACCGTTCTGAAGCCGAAGATAGGGCGAACGTGAGCAAAGAATCGCTTAGGCTAGCCGATGAGGCGCTTACCAAGATGGAGATTGAGTTAGCAGAGTTGAAGGCGGCCAAGAAAAAGGCAGAATCTGAGGCTTCTGCCGCATTCGAAGCAGGAAAAGGCGTCGCCTTCAAAGAATACGTAGATGAAGTCCCCAGGTTTGAGAATCGGGGGTTCAAACACGGGTGGCTCAAGGCCCTTGGTGCCGCTGGGGTTACATTGACCTTGCCAATTCCTTATGAGCAGGTGGACGTTAAGCCACTTGAGTTTGACCCCGAGGATTGATCTGGAAGTTAGTCGAACTTTATGAAATACTTTCCCTTTTAATGTATGTTTTTGTTTTTAGGACTTTTGTTGGTTCCGAGTAGTTTTCATGTATAAATTGGCTATTGTCTGCGCTCATTTTATTAATGAAAATTATCTTCTTGTGTCACTACTAAGGTGCAGTTTATGATGTTATGTTGGTGTAGAATGTTTTCCTTTCACTACTTTAGTTAGAATGACTACTCTGTTGACCTTTCTATGATTGAATATCATGATTAATCTGCCCTTGCCCTAGGCGGTGCATGATCATTCGGGCGCCTGAGGAGGCAAACTTAGTTTTGTTGTCGATTCATGGGCCGGCTGGGGCACTTAAGCCGAATGTATTGATAAATCTATCACGCCCTTGCCACAGGCGGGGCATGATCATTCTGAAGTCGATTCGTGAGCCGGCTGGGGCACGTAAGCCGAATAGATTGATTAATCTATCACGCCCTTGCCCCAGGCGGTGCATGATCATTCTGAAGTCGATTCGTGAGCCAACTGGGTCACCTAAGCCGAATAGATTCCTCGCCCCAGGCGGGGCATGATCATTTTGAAGTCGATTCATGAGCTGGCTGGCACCTAAGCCGAATAGATTCCTTGCCCCAGGCGGGGCATGATCATTCTGAAGTCGATTTGTGAGCCGACTGGGGCACCTAAGCTGAATGGATTCATTAATCTATCCCGCCCTTGCCCCAGGCGGGGCATGATCATTCTGAAGTCAATTCATGAGCCGGTTGGGGCACCTTAGCCGAATGGATTCCTTGCCCTAGGCGGGACATGATCATTCTGAAGTCGATTCGTGAGCCGGTTGGGGCACCTAAGCCGAATGGATTCATTAATCTATCCCGCCCTTGCCCCAGGCGGGCATGATCATTTT